CACCGCAAACCCCAGAATGCGGTGTAAAATACGGAGCACAGGGTGGATAATATTGTTGGCCACCGAATACCTGGTGTTGAACTCTTCAAAGTCGATAATCGTCTGCCACCATCTAAATTCATCGTACTCAGGGAACAGGCTCAACAAAGGGGCAAGGAGGTTCGCCTCGGGGTTCAAATCCAACAATACATTAAGATCACTTAGAGTCATAGAGTGCCGGTTGTTGAATAGTTGAAAGGAAATTTGGAAGTCGTTCCCAATAGGCTCTTTTTCAAAAGAGGCCAAGAATTCGAAGGTGGGTTCCTTATAAGTTCGGTATTGATGTTTGATCAACTCACTCATCCCCAAGTTATCAAGGAGCGACCTTATATCGTCGTCAATCCCTAAAGCTCTCATGGAGCGTTGATCATAGTGTCGGGAGGGATTTAACTTTCGTCCGTGAAGGTTGTTGAAGAACGTAGCATGGACCTTGTTCGAAAAACTCAATCTAGGGGGAACATTAGGCCCTTGAGCTTGAGTTTGTTGGGTACTCGGTTCTTCAACCGTTAACCTGGGCTCCTTTCTTCTTTTTTTTTTTGCTCATTATGTTCAACCAATACAAAAAACCCAACCAAAAGGAGAACTCCCTTTGAACTTAACCAACAATTGGAAAACAAAAACAATAACTCAAGTCTCAACAATCTGCAAAAGGGTTAGTGCTAACAACTAACCATACAAATATAACGCCCAAGACAACAAGAATCAACAACAAATCATTCAATCCAAACACATTATGATAGCAAGCCATTCTCATGAAATTAGTTGCATTAACAACAATACAAACACCAAATTTCTCAACTTCATTTCATGAAAATGGCTTCCAAAACATTAGTATTAACAACAATGTCCCCAAAATCACTAAATTACACACTAATAACCAACAAATCCCTCGCAAAGAAAACCAAAATCACATGCAATTCACTCAAGCTAATTCATGTTTAATAACTAAAATTTTTTCATAAATAAGTAAAATTAAGTAATAAGATAGCAAAATTTAGAGTTATACCACTTTTTAGAAGCATGAACACCACTAAGCGCCTTCAAGAACACCACCTTCAATGAAGCTTGCAAACCATGGAAATGGGGGGATTTTTGGGTATTTTGAAGAGAGAAAGTGGATGAATTTGTGAGTAGAGTGAAAGTTTTTGATGGATTTGAAAGAAAATCAATGGAATTTGTGAAAAATGGGTGAAATTTGAAGGTTAGGGTTTTGGTTTGTGAGGAGAGAGAAGAGAGCATGAAAATTGGGTTTCAAAAATATGAGAATGAAATCGAGAAGAAGAGGGTTAAAACCCGATTTTCCTGCTCTGCGCGCCCGCACAGGTGAGCTGCGCGCCTGCATATATGAGATGTGCGCCCGCACAGAAGTCGCGCAAACTCTTTGTCTGGAACCTCAACTTTTGATTAAATCTGTGCGGGTTCTGACTGTGAACGCCCGCACGCACAGAAACCATGCGCGCCCGCACATAGGTCGCGCAGCAAGTAGCGCAAACTTTCTGCTTCGAGCTTCAATTTGTGAATAAATCTGTGCGGGTTCCGACAGTGCCTGCGCGCCCGCACATATCACACTGTGCGCCCGCACAGATGGCGCGCAAAGTGTCGCACATAGTAATTTCGATTTATCCTCACATCTTCGAAATAGAAAATCCTTGTTCCTTCATCATCCAAACTCCTATTAAGCAAAAAGGTGAAAAAAAATAATCAAATTCAAATTCAAATTCAAAAAGGAGAAAGTGAAATCGGAATATTCTATAAAAAAATTAGAAAGGAGTTAGAAACTCAGGTTGCCTCCCGATAAGCGCTTCTTTATGAGGTCACTAGCTTGACCATGAGAAAAATCCTTCAAGTGGGAGGCTTGGGATCCAAAGGATCAAGCAATATACATTCGATGATACCAACTTCTTCCTTGCAAAAGTAATGCTTTAGACGATGACCATTAACCATAAAATTGTTACCATCCGCATCTAACTCATAGGAGCCATAAGGAGTAGTCTTTGATATCACAAAAGGACCCGACCACTTTGACTTGAGTTTACCCGGAAACAAACAAAGCCTTGAGTTGAAAAGCAAAACCTTGTCTCCAACCTTAAAGTTCTTGTTTCGAATATGTTGGTCATGCCACTTTTTGGTCTTCTCCTTATATAACCTTGAGCTCTCATAAGCATCATCTCTAATCTCTTCAAGTTCATTGAGCTTAAGCAATCTCTTCTCACCGGCCAACGATAAATCCATATTGAGCTCTTTGATGGCCCACCAAGCCTTGTACTCGAACTCAACCGGCAAGTGACAAGCCTTTCCATAGACCAACCTATAGGGGGTCGTGCCGATTGGAGTCTTGTACGCCGTCCTTAGAGCCCATAGCGTGTCATCAAGTTTGAGAGACCAATCTTACCTTGATTTGTTCACCATCCTTTCAAGAAGATTTTTGATTTCACGATTCGAGACCTCCACTTGTCCTTGCGTTTGAGGGTGGTAAGGTAATCCAACCTTGTGATGAAAGCCATACCTCTTGAGAAGAGCTTCAAATTGCTTTTTGGCGAAATGGGAGCCTCCATCACTAATTAGCACCCTCGGAACTCCAAACCTAGGAACGATGATCTTCTTTAGGAGCTTAAGCACAACCTTGTGATCATTGGTAGGTGAGGGTATGGCTTCAATCCATTTTATCACATAATCGACCGCTACTAAGATATATAGATTCCCACAAGAAGAAACGAAAGGACCCATAAAATCCACCCCCCAAACATCAAAGGGTTCCACTTCTAGAATACTTTGTTGGGGCGTTTCGTCCCTCTTGGTAATGCCTCCGCTCCTTTGACATCTATCACATTGCGCAAAGAATTGGTGGGCGTCTCTATGCATTGTCGGCCACCACAATAAGGATTGAGAGATTTTTGCCACTATTTTGTAAACACCACCATGTCCTCCACATGGTAGTGAGTGGCAATGCTCAAGAACACCTTGAATTTCATGATCCGGAACGCACTTCCGATAAAGGCCATCTCCACATTGCTTGAATAGGTATGGGTCATTCCAAAAGTATCTTCTCATCTCCTTGAAAAACTTCTTCTTTTGTTGAGAAGAGTACTCCGGGGGAACGACTCCACACGCAAGATAGTTGGCTATATCCGCGTACCAAGGGGTAGAAGTTGACACCAAATCCATGAGAGCCTTGAATCCTATCTCATCATTAATCGGTACATCCTCCTGGTTCTCAAATGGTAGCCTAGACAAATGATCCGCTACATAGTTCTCTGCTCCCTTCTTGTCCCTCATTTCCATGTGAAAGTCTTGGAGAGAGAGAACCCAACGGAACAAGTGAGGCTTTGCTTCTTTCTTGGTCATGAGATACCGCACCGCGATGTGATCCGTGTACACGATAACTTTTGAGAATATGAGATAGGACCGAAACTTATCGAATGCAAACACTACCGCTAACATCTCTTTCTCCGTTGTTGTGTAATTCCTTTGAGCCTCATCTAGAGTCCGACTTGGGTAGTAGATGACACATGATTTTCCTTGTTTCTTTTGACCAAGAACGACACCTACTGCAAAGTCACTAGCATCGCACATTAGCTCAAAAGGCAAGCTCCAATCCGGAGCTTGCACAACGGGAAAAGAAATGAGAGCTTCCTTGAGCTTACGAAACGCCTCAAGGCAAGCCTCATTAAAGTAAAAAACAACCTTTTTTTGAGTAATTCGGTCAAGGGTTTGGCGATTGAAGAAAATCTTTGATAAACCTCCGGTAAAAACCGGCATGCCCAAGGAAAGCCCATACCCCCATTATGGAAGTAGGAGGGGGCAACTTTTCAATCACAGAAACCTTGGCCAGATCTACTTCAATGCCATTTTTTGAAACCTTATGGATGAGGACAATTCCCTCCTCAACCATAAAATGGCACTTTTCCCAATTTAAAACCAAACTCGTGTCTTGACACCTTTTCAAAACTTTTTCAAGGTTAAAAAGACAAGTGTCAAAAGACGAGCCACCAACACTAAAATCATCCATGAAAACCTCAATTTCTTTTTCAAGCATCTCAAAGAAAATAGAAGTCATGCATCTTTGAAAAGTAGAGGGAGCATTGCATAATCCGAATGGCATTCTTCGGTATGCAAATGTCCCATATGGACATGTGAAAGTAGTTTTCTCTTGATCACTTGGATGGATAGGGATTTGGAAAAATCCTAAATACCCATCCAAGAAACAAAAGAAAGCATGTTTAGAAAGCCTTTTAAGCATTTGGTCCTTGAAAGGGAGAGGAAAATGATCTTTCTTGGTGTTTTTGTTCAATCTCCTATAATCAATGCACATTCTCCACCCGGTCACCGTCCGGGTGGAGATTTCCTATCCCTTTTCATCCTTTATTATGGTCATTCCACCCTTCTTTGGAACTACATGAACCGGGCTAACCCATTTGCTATCGGAGATAGCACAGATGATGCCCGCCTCACGTAGTTTCAAAATTTCTTTCTTCACAACCTCTTGAAGGTTGGGGTTCAACCTTCTTTGAGGTTCAATGGAGGTGGAATGATCATCTTCAAGATAAATAAGATGCATGCATAAAGAAGGGCTAATACCTTTAATATCATCAATGCTATACCCTATCACATCCCTATATTCCTTAAAACATCAAGAAGTTTTTCCAAATTAAGACCATCTAGGGTAGCATTGACAATAGTAGGGTATTTTCCCTCCTTATCAAGAAAAGCATATTTCAAAGAAGGGGGAAGGGGTTTGAGTTCTACCTTGGGAAGAGGCTTAGAACTGTCCTCCAATTTCTCCTCCTTGGACTCAAGCTCGACCTCAACTTGTTGTTCAACTTCCTCCTTTGAGGATTCCTCCATTGCCATGACAAATTCTTTAGCCTCTTGAGAGTGGAACTCTTCCTTGCATGTAAGGGCTTCAATCATTGGATCTTGAGGCCTCATCACGAACCTCCCCAAGAGATCTAGCTCCTCATTTACAACATCAACTCTAAAGAGTTTTCAACCATGGGGGTCATGAGAAACTTTGAAAATTCAAAGACGATCTTTTCATCGGCCACTTCACAAGTGATGGTGTTGTTCTTGCAATTGATGACCGCCCCCAAAGTTTTAAGAGCTTCACGTCCCAAAATCAAATTAGTATTAAAATCTTCCTCCATATCCATCACTACAAAGTCACAAGGCACGTAGATGTGTCCCACTTGAATTGGAACATCCTCAAGCTCTCCACAAGGTAATTTCACCGATTGATCGGCCAATTGAATTGTCTTCCTTGTAGGGATCATCTCAATATTGAGTTTTTGAGCAATTGATAGAGGAATTAAACTAACACTTGCTCCAAGATCGACTAAGGTGCCCCTAGCTTCCATGTTCCCAATTTCCACCAGCAAAGTGAAACTTCCCGGGTCTTTTTCCTTCTTGGGCACCTTATGTTGGACAAGAGCACTCACTTGATGTGGAAGGGTGATAAGCTCGTCATTGAGCTTCCTCTTGTTGGTGAGAATATCTTTGAGGAACTTGGAATAACATGGCATTTGTGTCACAACTTCAAGAAAACGGAGGTTGATATGCAAATTCTTCATGACACTAAGAAATTTTGTGAACTTGTCATTCAACTTCCTCTCCGCAAGCCGACCGGGAAAAGGAACCAGTCCATTAAGATTCCTAGCCTCACTAGGAATTGAAGTTGTCTTCTCATTGTCTATCTTCTTCTTCTCCGAACCTCCTTCTATCTCATCACCTTTTTCTTTCTCACCTCCCTTGTTTTCATTCACACTCTCCTCTCCTCCCTTCTTTTCCTCTTTATCCCCTTCATTTGGTCCTTCGAAGGAAGTTCCCGACCTTAATGTGATCGCCTTGCATGTATCGGGTTTTGGATTGTGAGATGGGTTAGGTTGTGGTTGTCCGGGTAGAGTGGATGGTGAATTAAAAGGAGTTCTCTCGGCCAATTGAGCTAGTTGTGAATCAACCGTCTTTTTGTGGGCTCTTATCTCTTGCATTTGTTGCCTTTAAGATTGCATTTGCGCATGCATGGCTTGGAGGAGTTGAGTTTGAGTTAGCTCCGCTTGAGGTGCTTGGGTTTGATTAATATATTGGTTGTTCTTTGGATAGCTTCCTCTTGGGTTTTGGGGTTGAGATGAAGGTGGGTTTTGATATTGAGGATTGGAGTTATAGGAAGGTTCATCTTGTTGGTTCCATTGTTGAGGTTGAGGTACAAACCCGGGTGGTGGTTGTCTCCAAGCTACTCCACCGCCGCTTCCTCTAAATCCCTCTTGCCTTGTGTTATATGCCGCTACATGTTCGGGGCTTAAACCTACACAATAGGATGTATCATGGTTCGTTCCTCCAGAATTTTGACAAGAGAAAGAGTTACTTTGAGAGGAGCTTGCTCCACCACTTGAAATTGCATTCACACTCGTGTTCAATTTGGAAAGCCCTTTTGTTAGTTGATCAATTTGATGTTGTAATTGATCAACTTTCTCCAATTCGTAAATACCACCTCTCTTTGGAGCGTTTCTTTTTTGGCCCCCCAAGAGTAATTCTTTGCTACCTCTTCTATTGTGGCTTTAAATTGATTTTGAGGGATCTTGATTAATTGACCACCTGCCCCCGCATCCAAATTGGCTCTTGACATGGGCTCCAATCCGTCGTAGAAAAACCGCATGAGCAACCCTTGATTGTACTCATGGTGGGGACATGCTGGCACCAACTCTGTGAATCTCTCCCATTCTTCACCAAGACTTTCATCGGCCTCTTGCTCAAATGATGCAATTTTCCTTCTCATTTCGGCGGTCTTCTCTTCGGAGATAAAGCGTTTCAAGAATGCCTTTACAACCTCCCTCCATGGTGTGAGAGAGTTAGGCTTTACTTGCTTTAGCCATTTCTTTGCTCGTCCGGTGAGAGATTGCCGGAAAAGGTGCATACGAATTTAGTCTTGACTCACTTCATTGGTTTGCATCGTTGCGCACAATTCCAGGAATCAGTCCAAATGTTCAATAGGGTCCTCACTAGCGCTTCCGGAAAATTGCTCCGATTGGACCATTCGAGTATGTTGTGGATGGATTGAGAAGTTGGTTTCCGTGACGGGTAGCAAAATCCCTCCCGTGAGCTCATAATTCTCCGGATTTCCGAACTCACAAAACAAGACATCATTCTCTTGTCCCGCCATTGATTCGTGTGGTGAACTTGAAGAGTAAGTATCACTCTCACTATAAACTATATCACCAAAACCTATTCCCTCGTCTTGATAAAGCATACGGACTTGTCTTAAGGTTCGGTTGATAAAACAAAAAAAAAAACTAAAGAAAAGAAAGCAAAATGACTCTAACAAAAGCAATAAGATTCGCTAAACAAGCCGCTTCCCCGGCAACGGCGCCAAAATTTGATAGGGATAAGATAGGTCATTAAGCTACCACCCTAACCAAATTAATCATTTATAAAGCCTAAACCTACACTAAACTAGTTAGTGGCAAGTAAAGGGTCGAACCACTAGGGAAGCACGCTAATTCAACATCAAATATCACTAATGCAAGAATGAAAAGGGGATTGTTTTGTTTGTTTTGTTAAGTAGAACACTAAAACTACAAGTAAGCAATAAAATGATGATTAAAATCAATATAAAATGATGCTAGGGGTTCGGGGGTTTCAAACATGATTAGAAAAAAGGAGGACAATGATAGTTATCATGATGAACATGCCAAAGAACACAAGATTCTACCTAAACAATTCATTCTCATGCAATAGTCTAGGCAAATCAATGAAAAAATTCTATGCTAATTAGGATCATTCTCATGCATCCTATTAGACACAAGAAAATAAAGAGAATAAAGAACCACAATACATGAAACTCCATTTTAACAACTCATTCTCGTGCAATCATTAAAATGGAGGTGATCTTAATCTAGTTCAAATCATTTTCATGCATTTAAACTAGAAGGCAATCAAATAAAGTGCAACAATAATCTCAAGCCATTAAAAATCATGTATGTCATCAATTTAAGGCATATAATCCATCCAACTATCATCATTCATCCACCATTCAATGCATATATTCCACCCCCTTCCCTAGCTAAGAGTTTAGCCTAGAGAAGGGAGATTAAACATAATATCAAAACTAGAAATAAACACAAGAAACTTAAAACAAAATATGATTGAAATATATGAAATCAATAATAACTAGATAAACTAATAAGATCGACAAAAATAAGTAACAATAAAACAAATAAATAATATTAAAGGAAAGGGGAAGAGATTACTAAAGAAAGGATTGAAGAAAGATGAAAACTTGGATACTTGCTTTATTGATGGAAGATTAAAGCTTGAGCAAAGTTGATTACAATAAAGGAAGCTTGAATAACAATCTATTTTCTCTCTCTAGATTAGGCTAATGTTCTATGAAATTAGTACTAAGTGTCTTCTATTACAAAGAGTCCCGTCCATATATATAAGGCTCCCCCGAAAAGAAAGAGACTTGGACAACAAGGCGCAAACAAATCAGAAACCCAGCCGTGCGCGCCCGCACAGATGAGCTGCGCGCCCCCACTGAATGTTTGTGCGCCCTCTAAGCGTAGTGCGCGGCCGCAACTTTGAGGGTACGGGGAAAATGAGCGCGCCTGCAATTGAGTCCTGCGCGCCCGCGCATCAGGTGTGTGCGCCCGCACACAAGTCGCGCGTAAGGTCTTGCAAACTCTCTGGTTAGGCTTTGTTTCTTCAGTCTGGCTGTGCGGGTTGTGACAGGGCTGCGCGCCCGTACAGCCTCACATGTGCGCCCGCACAGTACCCGCGCACAACAGTCAGCTTGGCTTCTTGACATCCTCTATCTTTCGACACATAATACCTACAAAACCAAAGCATGGAAATCGAAATAAAAACAAAGCGAGAAGACTAAGAGAAGGGAAGATAAGGGAGAAAAGGAAAGAGGAAGAAAAACTAAGTAAAAATGCTTAGAAAAAGGGTTAAACAAGCGTAAATGAGGGGAGAATCCTTAGAGAAAAAGGATAAAAGAGTGGCATAAATGCCACTCATTAGTAAGGTTAAAAATGAACTTAGAGAGGGGTTTGAGACTGAGGATTGGTTAAATAAAAGATACAGAATCAAAGATGGCTACAAGTGGCTTCAAGGTAATATGGAAAAAGTAAATTGGTATGGCTGGGTTAGGAATCACTTCAACATTCCCAAGCATACCTTTATTAACTGGCTCTTAGCTTTGGACAGGCTCTGAACTAGAGATAAACTTGTTCAATTTGGGGTATGTGACTCTAGTGATTGTCTTCTTTGTGGTGAGGATGCTGAGACCAGTAATCATCTGTTCTTTGGCTGTAGCTATAGTGAAAATATTATTGATGATGTTGCTCATTGTATTGGCCTTCATAATTCCCTTTTGCATTCTCTTAATAATTGGAAGAATTGGAAACAAAGAGGTAAAAACTGTATTCAGCAGAAGGTGGCTCTAGCTTTCTTGTCCGCAGTTGTGTACAATATCTGGATGGCTAGGAATCATGCTCTCTGGTATAAAGTTGTTCTAAGGCCGGATTCGCTTTCAAAAGGGGTAAAGAGAGAAGTGGTGACTAGATGTCAGCAAATGATCAATCATACATGGAAGATTGAAGACTGTAAATGGTTGCAACACCTTAAGTCCTGCATTTAATTGTTTTTGCTGTCTTTGCTGCTGTTTATTATTTTGTAGATTGGTTGTATGGGCTATTGGATGTAGGTTTTCTTGCTTTTGCAGGTCTAGGTTTCCTTAAGACCTTCCTAGAAGGTACCAGGGGTCTCTTTGACCTAGTTTTTGTTTTTGTTCATTCTTTAAACCCTTCCTAGAAGGTGGTAAGGCTGAACTTAAAACCATGGTGATTGTTTTCCTTCATTATTAAGGCTTGTGTAGTTTCGGTTCCTGCTTGTCAGGATTGTACATTATTCTTTTGTACAGTTTTTTTTTTATCAATATACTTTTCTTACCTTCCAAAAAAAAAGAATCATATGAAAGTCAAACACATTCAAACAAAAAAAATTTAATCGTTTAGTGTCATTCATTCAAAAAGAAGGTTTGACTTTGCGTTGACTTTTCTCTCTTCTCTTTCCTCCCATGGCGATTTGAGTTTGCTGGTTTTCCTTTAGCTTAGTTGAGTCTCAATGGCAAAGAAGAAGAAGCAATTTACTCCTAAACCTTCAAATTACTTGAATCACGTACCCTTCTAAATCTTCTTTATCTTTGTTGAATGATGGTGTTAATCGATTGAATGTTTCTAGGTTTTCTGGCTCTGCTTTGATTCCAGAAGTTGATGAGGACCCTGATGAACTTGTCACTCCACCTTCTCATTTGAGTCAATTCTTGACTGAGAAGATTACTAGAGCTGAGCTGAAAGCTCTTGAGGATTTCCATGGCCGATTCATCAAAGCTAATAAAACAGTACCCCAATCTACTTTTCCATTGGATTTCAGAGCTACCCCTTCTGGTTTAATGCAGACAGTGCTTCGAAAGATGATTCTAAGATGGCTGAAAGTAATCCTGTCCTCAATTGTGGATCAGTTCCTCGAAGCCCAGACACAACAGTACCTAGGTTTCTGAACGTACTGTTCCATTGATTTTTAAGCTCCATTCTGCTCCAATTGCTGAACCAATTACTTTGGAGACTGATGTGGTGCCTCCTAGTCTGATAGTATTCCTGCTGCTAAGCCAGGGTCTGCTAAGCTCACAGCTAAGGGTTCTGCCCTCTCTTTTGTAGCTCCTGTGCTCAAAGATGGCAAGTCTGTTGCTCAATTACAGCAAGCTGAAATTAATGAAGGTAATCTCAAGTGGAAGAACTCTGTAGTTTTTTATGTAATAGGCTATTATCCTACTATTGCTGCTGTTCATAGATATATTGTTGAGAATTAGAGTGCCATAGCTAAACCTGATGTGTTTTGGCATGATGATGGCTACTCTCTGATTAAAATGCAAAACTCTCATGATATGAATGTTGTTCTTAGTGCTAGTCCACATATGTTCTTTGGTACGACGGCCATTGTTAAGCCTTAGTTTGAGAAATTTTATTTTCATGCTAAGGTTTTAAGAATTGTTCCTATACGGGTTAAGTTACCTAACTTACCTTTGAATTGCTGGGGTGTGGACACTTTAAGCAGACTGGGAAGTGTCTTAGGAGTCCCTTTAAATGCTGATGAATGTACTTCAAAATAGTTGAGGGTCTCTTTTGCTAGTTTGCTTATTGAAGTTGATGTAACCAAGGCTTTGTCCAAGACTATCTGGTTTGAGAGTCCATATGGTGTTTTGATTGAACAAAAAGTTGTTTTTGAATGGACACCCCCCTTTTGTAGCAAATGTAACAAAGTGGGCCATGATTGTACTATTCCTAGGAAGATTCAACCTCAGAAGAAAAAGGTGGCTTCTTTGGAGCAGCCTAAGCAGCAAGTGAAAGGTTTGGGTTGCTAAGGCCCAACCTGCCACTGTTCCTACACCTGAACCTAGTGTGCCTGAATCTAGGGGTAATGGTACTATTCATAGTGCTGGTGTTTTCACTGCTGCCCCATCTACTTTGCAAGCTAATTCTGATAATGATTGGAGAGTGGTGGGAAGGAAACATAGAAGTCATAGTAATCCTCATGTCTTTACTAATGTTCCTAATTCTAATACTTATGCTGCTTTGATTAAGGATGGTGCTGGTGCTGGAGATCTTATTTCTATCGGGGGTGATGGTAATCCCCCTCTTGGGTCATGATTATCCTATCATGGAATATCAGGGGTCTTAATGATCCCTGCAAAGTAGTTTCTGTTAAGAAACTGCTAGCTGAACAGTCTGTGGATGTTATTGGTATCATGGAAACTAAGGTTAAATGTGATAAGAGTGTTAAGCTTCAGAAGAAATTTGGGCCTGCTTGGTCTTGGTTTTGTAACTACTCATCTTCTCATAGGGGTAGACTCTGGGT